ACATAATCTGTAGAAACTTGGCTCACTCTCTCCTCCAGTCGGTCCTTGAAGTCGTTTTGGGGGAAAACAAGACATTTATAAACACCAACCGCGAGATTAGATTTGTTAAGATAATGAGGCGCCCGGTTTAGCAAAGCGTCTCCACCATGCCTGCAACCATCATTCTGAAGAGCCTGCAACCGCCGTCTCCTTAATCCAGGGTATGACCTCGCATGAGGGAAGAGACGAGTTGCGGGATGCAGGTTCACGACAGGATATATACGCCAGTCTCCTCAACGAATTCGGCGAAACGAAAACGCTCATCCTTACGTTACTCCTGCAAGAAATAAATTGTGAGACTGGTGTGACGTTCTCGCTAATACGATATGCGCCCGTAGAATTTCATTGAAAATTTTTTTGAGACACACAAGCTCCTGGTCACCAAGTTCCTGGAATCAAGAAGCTTTACCTGTCGATTGTACATCTAAAAAGAATGTTACGTTGACAATCGCCTTACTGTGTATGTCACTAAATATCTTCCGTGGATTGAAATTCGCTTGGAAACTTCGCGTAGAGAGATGAGGGGGACGAGCATCCTGGTCTGTGGCTCTTGAAAGAGAGAGAAAGGAACGTCGATCCAGACTCGATCAGAATTTATTCTTATCGTGATGCAGGCGGCTGTATCCGACGCGTGATTTCGGCATCAGTGAAAAAAGCACAATAAAATTTAACGGTCCGTCAGACCGTTGCGGCATTCCCGCGCCCGAGTAAGCAGCCAATAAATACCGGCGGAACAAGGCGGCTACAAATCTCAAGATAAACAGGAGCCCGTATTTTTCTACCCCCTTGACTTCCGGGCGCGGCGTATCTCTCTCGCGCCTTCTCCGAGCTAGTAGCCGTAGAAGGGCCGCGCCTCTGCCCTTTTTTTACATTCCACGTATGAATTATTAGGTGGCCGGACCTAAGGGGTGGACCACCGCGGTATTTAATTTTCACTCCCCGTTTTAAAACAGGACGAATTTTTCCCTAATCGCATCCCTGATGATGAAAGTGCGGTCGGCAGTTTGTCACCGACCCTTCGCACTATTATCAATGTATTGCCTCGCCTCACCCGGCGACTCGTATATTAATTTAGAATCTCAGCCCTGCGATTGCTTATCGGCTAAGAACGTTTGCGCGTATTAACGAGGTGCGAGATGTTCGCCGCGGCGTTACCGGGGCAAGTGGATCAGCGCGTGAACGTGCGCGCGAAGCCAATTAAGGGAGGACGACGACGGAGCGCGAGCGCCGAGACAGACCCAGGGTCTGGCGGCTGCTGATGATGTATGTGGTGGAAAATACTGGAGGCAATCTGTCACGCCATCGACGTCCCGCAGGCGCCTGCTCTCCTCTTCTCCTTTGCCCTTCGCTCCTTTTCCTCGTCGCTGGAAATCGGTACGAGTACCGTACAGCTGATTTGGCTAATTCTGCTCATTCAGCATGAAACGGTTGTTATATAGAGAGGATGGAGAGAGAAGGAAGGAAAAGTATTTATTAAATGGCAGAAGACGATGTTTATTATCGATATAATTTTTAGGTCAATTCGTTTAACACTGATACACCGAGAAAAAATATCTGAAAAATAAAAAATATCTATTCGATGAATATAACATGTTTATTTAACTCCAAATTTTTTTATCTAAATAAAACAAACGATTGTTTTCATAAAAAGCTAAGATCTTATGAGAAAGTATATTTTCTTATTAGAAAAATATTTTGTGTGTTAATATAAGTGAAGTATGTTAATACTCACTGAATAAGTATTTTTTTATTTCTTAGGTGTTTTTTTCTTGGTACATAACAATATGTGGATTTCATATGTGGCATAATTTTCATTTATAAAGCACTTAGCATTTTATTATATTTTTTATCCTTAATATCAATTATATAATTTTTTCCTACATATTCTTAATACATTTAGTATGTTATTATATCTTTTTTATTTTTAATATGTTGGTTACATACTTTTTTGTTGTCACTATTGCCTCTGTCTTTATAGTCGTCGCAATGAGATTCGCGGAAAATTTCGACGAACAATTTCGAATTACCAGCAAGCTCCCCTTGATCCTTTCGAAGGACGCGACTGCCGTCTCTTCTCTCCCTGTCGTTCGACGACGCGTGGACGAAATTCGTGCCTTCCTCATTTCCTCGTTGCCTTTTTCCTCCTCGAGCGAGCTTCTTCTGGGTGTATATACGGCTGATTAAACGCGCAACTATGTAACGTTACGCAAATATACCGGCCTCGGGCACGCCGTCGACTTGGCTCCTCGGCGTCTCGTTCCGCTCTCGATTCCACCTTTCGACTCTCTTTGAATTCCAACCCCGGTCACTTGACGGAAATATTTATCGAGGGTCTCCGGCGTGGCCCCCCTCTCGTTGCCCTACTCCTTCGGGCTAGACAGGACGACGACAGGACGAGGCGCGGTCGCTCGTAATTCCCCGATACCTCTCGTCGCCGGCTGCTCTGTCCCCATCTGGCTATCCTCGCGTTCCTTCTCTCTCTCGCGAGTTCTTTGATCCATTTTACGGAGTTTGTTCGGTACGGATTATTTACCCTCTTAATTACATTTCGATTCCGCTTCTCGCATCCCTCTCGCCTCGTCTTTCTCTCTTCTCCGACCAATCGTCAGTAGCTCTCGTTCTTGACGCGTCGATTACATTATGCTGCGAACATATATGAGCAAACGCACGCGATTATGCTTGCAGCTTATTAATTTTATCATGTAGCTTTCGATACTCCGCGCGAGACAAGTAGACGGCTTTTATATATTTTTTTTAATTCCTCGGCTCTCTCGTCCTTCCCCGCCGGCAGACGATGACGAAGAGTGAGCCGCAGCTGATTTACATTTCTTTCTCTTGTCGGCATAAAAATTCCACGACGATAACTTCCTTTGTTCCACCCTCCGTGGTCACGAGAACGAGCGACCCCTGCGGCTGCAGAGCCGCGGGGGTGCCGTCTCGTAACCTCGTCTAGTTTCTCGTCCATATTACATTTTTTTTTCCTTAATTAAAGGCAATACGCCGTTTGATGGCGAACGCGAGTCGCCTGCTATCGTTTGATCGCGACGAGAAAGCAATCGAGAGCAGCGACATAGAGTCGTCGTTACACGATCGCTTCTTCTCTCATTATCACAGTGGAGAAATGTAAACCCCATCATTGATACTGCACTGGCATTAATTATTCTTCTGGAGATATTCCCCAACCAGTTTACAATTTGTTTGCGGGTCATGTTTGTGTCAATTAAAATACAAATGCGAACGTAACAAGTGAAGACGACGAGTCGGGACACTACGGGAACGTAAACTTCGCGAATTGTGGCAAGGAACGTTGTGGCATGGCTGATCGTTCGAGCAGCTTGCTCGTTCTTTATTTTTCTCTCAAGTTGGACGATAATTACCTTTACATTTTTGCCAAAGTCCTCGCGCTCGAGAATCGCGTCGGGAATTGCGACGATCAAGCGAGTCGTAACTGCGCGACGTTTCGCAACTTTATACGTTCCTGATAATCTCTCAGAGAGCACCAGGACGGTTATTCGCGGTGGTCGTCGGGATTTATGAAATGGCAATAAAATTTATATGACTCGCTGGATCGTTAGGGGTGCGGCTCGCTCGTTCAGATTGATGTCGCTTGCGCCGCGAGTCTGGTCCACTTGCCCGAGGCTACGTTTGTCTCTCTCTGCGATCGTCGTAGTACGGACCACGCTCGTTATTAATCCCTTGAATATCGCGACAGTCATTTCAGTCATCGCGTAAAACAGGAAAAAAAGGGAGGACAGTCTGTGTCTGAATTTGATTCAGCTTCTCATTTAACGAGCCGAGTCCATGTGGGAAATTTATGAGCAACGCAATTGTGCAGTTTACTGGCGAATAATTGGTAGCCACGCGAATTTACGCGTAATTCGAGAAATGTTCGAGTAGAATGAAGGAAATCCCTTTAGAGGGCTCTACAATTTTATGTTTATGTTCTTAGATGAAATGTACAATTTCACACTTTAATTGTGTGCAGAAATGCAAGAATTTCAATATTTTGAGTGCTTTGTACTTTGCAAGAGAGATTTAGATCTCTGTTAATAGTTATTATTTGAAACTTGTCTCATGAGAGACACTTGGATTTGAATTCAGAGTTAGATGAGTTTTTTCTCAGTTGAATGGTAATTACATATATAAATGTCGCATACATCATAATTCATGTGACAACTTTAGATCTAACATAAAAAGCTAAGTATTTCATATGAGAATTTCAGATGATAACTTTCAGGTGACAACTTTAATACAAGCCTCAGTGTTTGACATGTGTGTGTAATTGCTAACTTTCTGCGAATAATTAGTAGTCAAGTGAATTTGCAACGTGTAATTCGAAAAGTAATCGAGTGGGATGAGTTTAATCCCTTTCCATATTATCGTATTTTCATGCTTTTACAAAATAAAATGTAAAATTTCACGTTTCGATTATGTACAGAGACACGAGAATTTCGGCAGTTTGAATATCTTGTATTCGCTAAGAGAGATGTAATTTGGATAGGTGTGTGCGTGTATGTATGTGTGTGATAGTTTACTCTGGCAAAAACATAACGAAGTGAATGAGCTTGCGTGATTGTGACGTGATCGTTTGCGCAATCGTGCTCGGCCGTCGTTTGAGCCGGGGAACGGCGGAGAGATAAGGGAAAAAAGGCGCTCCTGATAACTCACTTATGCGGCGAATCACGCGTGTGCTCTGTCGAGCATGATGCCTCGAGGACATGTCTGTTCTACCTGTTGCTCGATTCCCCATCGATGGCAGCAAGTATCGCGCGAAGAATTCGGCGGGTTTACCGCCCCTCCGCGCTTCCTTACGGCTCTCGCGCGACGCCGTGCGCGCGAATCGCTGAGAGACTCGGTGAAGTTTCAGAGAAACGGGACTTTGAACAACCTCGCGAAGCCGAAGTAAGAAATCGATCGATCATGAACTCATGATTGATCGTAGCGCCCTCGTTTTGTTGCAGGTGGACGATCGAGTCAGGTCTCCGGGAACATCACGATGCCTGACCGCTGCTACCATGTCGCTCTCCATCTCGCCCTCTAGCCCCGAAGAACCTGTTACGCTGTAAGTAATACACATATATGTTATACAGATTTCGCGAGTTGTACTTTGCGCTATGTGATACTTTGAATCGTCGGCGTTGTCAGGAGACAAGCGATGTTGAATATTTTCGTAACTTACACGGGGAAAATATTGTAGTGAAAATAATCACAAAATTCCGGTGATCTTGAACCATTCAAAATCATGATCGAAACTACTGCATATCTTCTCGAGAATGTTACGCCCGTTTGATTTTTCACTACAAAATTATCGAAATTGCTTGAGTGTCTTTTTTAATTCATATACCAGATAGATCGTCCAACTTACTATTACCATGGCAATTTACACTAGAATTGCAGTATAATCCAGCTTTACAAACAACATTGTGACACGAAATATAGCTTCAACGTAATTTGCCCTACGATATTTTTTCCGTGTATATCTTGGCCAAGATGATTGTGTCTTCTTGCTGGTCGCAAGTGACGAACAGAAGCTTAAAAACGCGCAGGTCGAAGTGGCGCTTTCGTGAAAGCATGAAAGCTCCCAGAAAACTCCTGGCGAAATAGATATATCCAGTGACGAAAGAGCGCATCGAATACGACGCATTGCCGACGCGTGCGTGGCTCAAAATGGCGAAGAGTACGGTTAACACTTCTGTGCATTCAGCCGAGAGGACGAGAAATTAAAAGTCGCACGACGGACGCAGGCGAGACCGCGCGTTCTCCACCGCAGAGCCACTCAGACAAATTAGTCTTCGCGGGCAATACGACGACGATGTTTTCTCTCGCGTGTGGTCCTACACATCGCCCGTTATCCCTGGTCGTTTTCGCCGTTCTTACTGCCGCCGCCGGCTCACGCTCGCAGGAGCACCGCGAGCAGGAGGCGCGGCGGCCACGCGGCAACACGAAGGGGAAAGAGGGGCGATATTTATGCCAGTTTTTTATTGCGCTTTAGCCCGAGAGAGCAGAATGGAAACAATATGTCACCCGGTAGGGAAGGCAGCCGGCTGGGCAGGCGGGAGGGAAGAAGGGAACCGCGCGAGAACTTCTTGTAGGTGGCCCGGCCGGTGCTACCTAATGTTAATACCAACGCCTCCGCCGTGCCAGCGCCCTCCGACCGACGTCATGATTTTAAATGAACAACCCCCGCTCCTCTCCCTTTCGGCTCCGGAAACAAGCGCGTGAGCGAGCAACGCGGGATCGCCCGCGTGCGTTTGTCCGTTCTTGCCGCGACGATAAATAATGCTCCGGTCGCGCTGAGCGATTTTTCTCTTGCCGCGTCTCCTCCATCCGCGAATTACTCGGTCGTTTCGGTGTATGATCGATCGACGTACGACGAGCGAAGAACGTCTCTCTTCGCGAACGCGAGGAGTCTTCACACACGTAGGAGATGAAGCTCGCAGCGGAACTTTGGCGCGGAGCGGGTCGAGATGGATCGTCATCTCGACCTGCGTTTACACAGCGCGAAGGAATTTCAGCCGGTGTAGCTCAAGAAAGTGAGCGATATGTAAAGATACCATGTAGACATTAACTGGAAAGTTGAGGCTGATTGCTGTTTTGCACGGAGGTAATTTGAAAACTTCTTTTCCAGCCGTGAGACTGTCGGGGTTGCTCGTCCCCCGCAGATGCGCGGGGTACATTTTATCGTGACGTTGAAATATACTCGGAATGCTCAGCGAGAGCAGGCGCGCCGATGAATCGCGCGGACGAATCCTTCGAGCGCGCGGGATGTAGACCGAGCTGCAAATAAATCCGGCGATCGGCAAGCCTGAGGTATTTGAGGTCGGACGATTTCCGGCGGTTCTCTGCTTATCGCTCGGAAGTGCGCCCGAAGAGAAGGAACAGAGAAAAAGAGAACGAGAAAAAAGGAAGAAGGAAAGGAAAATCGGGGTGTAGGGGCTCGTTATTCGGGGTCTCAAGAGTCATCGGATAAGTGCATATCGATTTCTCCCTATTGGCGAGGGTCGGGCCGTCGGTAAGATCGAGGCGAATGGGAAAAAAGAAGGCGGTAAAAAGGGCAAAGGCTATAAGTAACGGACCGTCTGGTGGAAAGCGCTCGAGGGCGAACAGTGATTTAGAGAAATTAAAACTTTAATTCATGTTCGGGTTCATGGGGGGTTGTGTCCTCTACCCCCGACCTCCCTCTTACCCTCCTACGCTCTTTTCCTCTTCGCTCAACCGTTCCTCCGCCCTGTGGCATTCTGTGCCCCTCACCATCGTCCTTTCCGTCAGTCGACCGAAATCCCGCGCCGCGTGTAAATTGGCAAGCACGACCAGTACTTGCTTCGTTCTCAAGAGACTTCCTCATGCTCGCGCGCGAATATTCTAACCCTAAAGTACGCGAGTCTGAAACACACGTCGGAAAAATTCACGTGTCTCGCGAGTTGGTGATATCTTTGGATTGCGAAAATAGTCGCCGAATGATACAAGTGACCAAAGGTTATTTCACAACTGCTATACTTGTTTTCATCACCAGACAACGTTTTTATTAACTAAACTAAGAGAAAAATCCTAGGCTATCAAAACAAAAGCGCGTTTGCTATTTGATGGTCGTCAGAGAAACAGTTACCGTTGCGAATCACTTCTCACCATAATGTAATTTTAACAGATGCATATTGCGTGAGATACATTCTCGTCTGTTTAGATTAGATTAGTTATGTCTCCAATGCAGAAGTGTTGCTTACAGCAGCAAACTGAAAGTAACAAGTCATTTGTTCCTAGTATGGAGTCATTTGCTGTCTCGCATCATGCAACGAAATATTTGTCGCGGGTACTGTTATTTTGTTAAATTAGCAAAACTTTTGCTCTCAGTATATAATGTCCTCTTGTAATGTCAGATGATTTACAAAGCAAGGGGGCGCACGAGTAAATGTCTCGATGCCGGTCAACCGTGTCTGTTCGATGGATGCACGTATACACACGCGCAGACACGGACATGTGCAATTGTTGTCATCTTGATTTAAGCTGCACATGTATTTTAAAGCACAATGACGTCGGACGGCTCTGTATGGCCGACATTTGCACAGGGACCAAATAAAAATGCAATATCGTAGTAGAAAGGAAAGCCGTATATACTCCATTGCCGATCCGTTGTATATCGTTGTATCCGTTGTATACGTTGAAAGGATTCCCCTCGACCGCGACATAAATTATCTATAAATCCTGCAAGTACTCTTTTTTTCCTTCGGGTATACGTCAGGTTTCTACGACCATTGCTAGTAATTTAAATATCCGTTAAAGAAAATGATTATCGCGAACTTTCTCGTGTCCTTTGAAAAATTTTGTTTTTATCCGCCATCCTCAGATGGGTCTGTTTTTCATGAGAACTGGGACCACGACGTTCTATGGGCGACTTCGTGTAATATTGTTACTCAATCGTTGAGAGTCCTAAAAGGCAACGACTCGCGACTCACGGACAGGAACATCGCGATAAATCTATGTTTCGGGAGACGTCCTTACAAACTTTTATGAACCACTATACAGGATACGGAATATGAGGAAAGGATGTACCCTTTATCTTCCTTTCCCTTGGCTCGCTGTCCTTCGCGCGGCTCCTCTCTTCGTCCCGTCCTGTTCCCGCGCTCCTGCTTCCGCCCCTGCATATCGCGCTCCGGCTTTTAGGGCCGGAGCCACCACCACCTCCAATAAATTCCCATCACCAGCTTCCAGGTACGCCTTCGCCGAGTAAATCATACCGTAAGTGAATCCGAATTGAATGCAATGAGTAAATATGGCTCTCGTGTAATGAAAGACGGTCACGAATGCGTGGCAGAAGCCGCGACTTCGCGGGCCGCATTGCATTTTAAAATCACACCAGCCGCGACATCTTATTACACCACGCGTTTGCGACGAAATTCCGCCATGCGCGTCCACGTCAACTAATATTATTTCTCCTCATTGTGCAAGGCGAGCACGGCCGAATTCACGCGTGTTCTCGACGCTCGACTACACCGCAACACTCGTGCATGTGTGTGCGTGAGCTCGAGAGTCGAGCAACAACCAGTCGGTGGAAATGCATAAATACATGAGTTGCGGGGAAGCGACGAACGAAAGAGGGAGACAAGCTTGGCCCGCATATGTAGCGAGCGACTCGTACCTCGTAATAACGCGTGGATAGCAGCTCTCTCGTCGCGAAAATACGGTCTTTCAAAAGGCTGTACTTCCCCCTCGGGAGAACGAGCGCAGCCTCGACTCGCCGTCGAAAGGGAGCGAGAGGACACATGAGAAATGACAATCTTATTCCATGACTTCCTGTCACTAACTTCGTCTCTCGCGACGATGCAACTCCTCCTGTTATCACGCCACGATTGTTTCGTCGTGTCTGTTATTTTTAGATGCGCGCGCGAAGACTCGCATCCGAAATCGGGCGCATTCATTCGCAATTCAACATCCTGAGATTGTATGTCTAATTAAAGCATTACGCGACAGAGAAAGAACCGGTTGTTCATTGTTCACTGTGACTTTGAAGCTCGATTTACTGCGTGCTTTTTTTTCCTTTCTCTTTATCTCTTTCGAGAGGGGAAGGGACTTAAATCTTAAGCCTTAAGCCAGAAAAAGATAGAAAACAAGAAACAGGAAGACACATTGTATAGCATTAGGCTTTACCACCCTTCGATCAGTTCCCAGGATGAGACTTCCCCGGACGCACTAGTGCTCAGTTCAGCATAAAAGCGCGATCAAACGGTAGCGGCGACGCGTAATCGAAGGATGCGGATGACATTTCCGCGGACGTGACTCTCGAGATTTTTCCTAATTTCGCTGCGACGATCAGCTCGATTAAAAGTCCAAGGGGATTCCGAAGGAGCGCAACACACGGGACGATGACTGCGCCGCAACGAGCGCGGGAAGTAAATACAGGAGGAAGGGATGACTCTGCAGGCATTAGAGAGGCGAGATTCGCATTCCCGCATTACTGTCACGCGAGTAATTACGCACCGTCGAAAGCAACGGTGCTGCGGGGGTGGTGGGGGGCGACGAGGGTGTGGAGTGGGTGGCGGTGGCGGCGGTGGTGGTGATGGTGATGGT